CCCCCCTCTCCTATTTCACTTTGACTGGCCCATTTGTGCTCACATACATACATGATAACATTTGCATGCTAATGAGTAGATGACAATCAATTAACTAATTTTCAAATATTACTCCTTTCTATTTTTTTTTTTCAAACAAGGAACAAGACTTTTCATTAATGCAATGATTAAAGGGTTAACTTCAAAGATACAAACTCCACGTGAGAGGGAACGAAATAATAATAATAATAATAAAAATAACGAAAACAATACAAGACTGGAAGTAACTAAAATGCAACAATCCTCTCTATTCTTCTTGTACAAATTGTTGCCATTATTAATCATTATGCGAGTCTTTGGAGCCAACCAGTATTTGTTCAGAAATATGATTGTTAATTTATCAGTATCATAATCATCTTTACATCCATGACAAGTCCTTGGAGATTTATTGCTGAAGCACGAGTCAGTTGGAGTCTTTTTCTTCATCCCTGTACTTAAACGTTACCCATTGTCTGTTGGTTCGAGTCTGTCAGTTACACTATTTCTACATGGGTGAGGAGCGCAGATATGTTTTAATAGGAAGATTCTGTTTTTCTCTTTCCTTTCTTGTTTTTTTTACTTTTTTATTTTGCAGATAGAGCCCATCTTGAGTGGAAATCTGCCTCCTGGCTTTGATTCAAGTGCATGCCGCAGTGTGTGAGTATTAAATAGATATTTTATTTCCTTTTTCCATTTTTTTCATTTAGTTCATTTTAAATTTTAGATAGTAAGATAAGTCTTTATTTGGAATAACTTGCACATTTTGCCTTCGATATAAGGTTCCTCCTTGGATTTGCCATTTGTTGATTGATTTCCATTGACACCTTCTCATGTTCATTGTTTGCTAAAACTTATATCATTCTGGTTCGTATGTTGTTTGAATGCATTCAAGTACACTGATTTCTATTACATCTTTTTTTGTTTTTAATTAGCCATCAATCTGAACTAATGAAAAAATATAGGTATGTTGGGAACATTCATCCCCAAGTCACCGAGCCTCTTCTTCAAGAAGTTTTCTCAAGTATTGGACCCATTGAAGGATGTAAGCTCATTAGGAAAGAGAAGGTGTGGTTTCCATTTAGACTATCATTTGGTGCTATACGAACTCTTTCCATTATGATAATAAGTACTTCACCATCGGTTATAACTTTTGAATTTTGTTGGACTGTTTCTTCCTTAAGTAACCAGTTGGTGGAATTATTGCAAATAATCCAGTGTTATCTCACAGATCAGGATCTTCTTATTATTTCAAATAATCCAGTGTTGTCTCACAGATCAGGATCTTCTTTGAACGTGTTTTTTGTTATATAAATAGGTACTAATCTTCTATCTCAACTTTTCTTTCTATTTATGCAGTCATCCTATGGTTTTGTGGACTACTTTGATCGCAGATCAGCTGCAGTTGCTATTATTTCTCTCAATGGAAGAAACTTGTAGGTGAAATTCTTTCTTGCATTTTTATTGACATTAGCCAGAGTCATATATTTCGATATAATTTCACACAGGTTTGGACAACCTATAAAGGTTAATTGGGCATATGCAAGTAGTCAGAGAGAAGACACATCTGGTTGTATGCTCAGATTGTTTCTTTTTCCTTTGATTTTGTTTCCAATTATGATGAGTTTGTAGCATGCGGCTGCTGACATTTTTATATGGTGTTTTTATGCAGGTCATTTTAATATATTTGTTGGTGATCTTAGCCCTGAGGTTACTGATGCTACGTTGTTTGCATGCTTTTCTGTTTATCCCAGTTGTTCGTAAGTTTGTTATCCAAATTTTTGTTATGAGTCAGTCTGCTTGGCTTATGTTCAAATGTTTGAGATGCGGTAGAGCTTAACTTAATACTATTCAACTGAGAACACCTTGCTCCAGCACCTCTAACCTTATTTTCCTTCAATACTTCAGGGATGCAAGGGTTATGTGGGACCAGAAAACTGGACGGTCGAGGGGATATGGTTTTGTTGCTTTTCGGAATGAACAGGTTTTTGAATTATTTCAATATGATGTTTTTACCCCTTCCTGAGTCGCCCATCCTTTTGCTACCAATGTAGGAAGTCTTGTATTTGTTTTCTTCAGATTATGTTCATAATTGTACTTCTATTAATAATTATTTATTCTGCTTTCAGGATGCTCAAAGTGCAATTAATGACATA